GAACCGTGGTCCCTGTGCTTTGCTAAGCTTGTTCTAAGTAGGTGCTTTAGACCACTGAGCCATCTCACCAGCCCCTACACAGGGTCTTATATGTCACCCAGGTTTATTTTTGAACTTGAAATTCTCCTCCCAAGTAGCTAGGATTATAAGCTTTTACCACCACAACTGTTTTTGTCTTTTGAGATAGGAAAAATTACAAATGTTTGTAAGGTAGCAGGAATGACCCAACTGAAATAGTGTTAAATTGGTGAGAGTAATGGATAGGGTAACATATTTGAGTAAGAAAGAGGAGGTGGAAACTAGTGCCAAGTAAAAGAAAAGGATGGTTCTGATTAGCAATCAGTTGCTTACGGAAACAGGAAAGAAGGGTTTGTGACTACAGACACAAGGCCTTGGTTAGATAGGGTTAATGGAAGTTTGTGGATGTTCTATTTTATTGCGTCAGTTATTGGGTTGGAAAACAGAGAAAATCAACAGAGAACAAGGATGGACAAGATGCTGGAATTGAAGGAGGAGATAGTATAAAAGAGCTGTCAAGGAGAGGAAGAACAACAACAGAAACGGACAGCACAATGAGTCTACCTTCATCTTACTTGGAATGACATCTGTCCCTTAGTCCTCGGGACACTGGATCTCAGAAACAGTAAGAGTAAGCAGAGACTCGTACCTGTTGCCATCAGGCCAGGAGGTACAGGTGACCGTTCCTCCCTCCGAAGTGACTCGAGCTGGGGATCCTCACTCAGCCCTTCCCGGCTCTGTGTTATCTCCATGTCTTTCCGAACTGGTGCCACTTCTGTTTCTAAGGGTTGTGCAACATCCTTAGCTGGAGTCACACTGTTGACCAGGGTGACATCTGTGCCAGGGGGGAGCACTGCATCCTTACCCAGGGCCATCTCTGTTTGTGGAGTCAGAGATGCATCCTTCATTGAGGCCATCTCCTTTTCTAGCAGTGGAGTCATAGCCTTGACCTGTGTCACCTCTGTATCTGTCGGGAGAGTCACATCCTTGCCCAAGGCCAGCTCTGTTTCTTGGGGGGTGGCCCTATCTTTGCTCAGGGCCATTTCCATTTCTTGGAGAGGAGCCATATCCTTCCCCAGGATCATCTCTGTTTCTAGGGGTGCAGCCAAATCCTTCACTGGGGTGCGCTCTCTCTCCAAGGGCAGAGCTACATCCTCTACCAAGACTACCAGGGGTTCTGGGGGCAAGGCCACATCCCTTGCCAGGGCCACCTCTGTTTCTGAGGACAAAGTCATCTCCTTGGCTGGAGATACTTCCACAAAGGATACACTGTCCTTATCCAGATCTGCCTCTATTTCAGAGAGTGACATCACACCCTTGGCCAGAGTGATCTTTGTGTCTGTGGGTGGAACCACAGTCTGCTGTGCGGCCAAATCCTTTGGTACAAGTGGTGTACTCTCTGCTATATCTGCGCCTGGGGCCACTTCTGGTTCTGCAGGTAGCACCACATCCTTAGACACATCTATTCCTGTGTGCAATATGGCATCCTTCATTGCAGCAGCCTCTGTTTCTATGGGTAGTGCCATGACCTTGTCCAGAGACATATCTGATTCAGTTGATGGCTGTGTGTCCTTAACGAGTGTTACATCTGATTTGGGGGGTTGTTCTGTAACTTTAGCTGATGTCACTTTGGATTCTGTGGCTGGTGACATGATTTTGGCCAGGACGGCCTCTGTTTCTCTAGATGGTACCCCGTCAGTTGTCTTCTGTCTTGTCATCATGTCTAATGCTTCTGTCAGCGGCTGCTCTTCTCCTGATGTCGTTTCCATCTCAGCCAGCTCTAAGGGAAATACACATTAAGACCCTAAATAAGCATCTGGTTATCCACTCAGTTCTGCATTGAAAACTGACTTTCTTGGGTCACGAAAGTATCTGGCTTTGGAAACCACAAAATATAATTAAGTAGAATTTGTGGGTGCTACATGTTTTATAATAATCCCAACATTTAAAATATATAATCCAAAAGGACAAGGAGTATGGAAAAAAAGGCAAAGGACAGAAAACAGGCTTCAAAATGCATATTGCTAATCAGTAGTGGGACAGAAATATGTCAGTACATGTGCGATCAAGAAAAAAAAAATTCCAGAGTTCTAAATACACAGAGATTGCCCTTGTTCTTCCCCCACCTTTTTTTGGCAGGGGGGCAGAACTGGGGATTGAACTCAGGTCCTTGCGCTTGCCAGGGAAGCTTATTCTACTGAGCTAATCTCCCCGGCCTTGTCCTTGTTCGAAACACTTTGGGTTCACTTGTACACACACACACCCCTCCAGAACCAGGAAGAATGGCAAAGGCAAGGCTTGAATGCATCTCCAATGCCTGGGTGTCTCATAGAAAGGCACACAAAGCACAATCGCAGCAAATGTAACATGCAGGACCCTTCCACCATGTTTTTTTATTGCCTGAGAATTATGGGAGGTACAATCTTCCCAGAACAGACCTTTGATTTCCCTTGTCTCTGTCTCAATCTGACTTTGAATTTCTTCATAGTATTACATATTTTTTATTTTGGGATTTTCTGAGATGCAGGTATCTCAGGCAACTTTGGACCACACCGTGATTGCTATACTCATGTTGACCTTCCATACAAGGCTTATTCACTCACTCTTCTTTTTTTGAGACAGGGTCTTACTATGCATCCCAGGCTGGCCTCCAACTTGTGGCAATCATCCTGACTTGGCCTCCCCAATGCTGGGATTATAGGTGTGTGATACCATGCCTGGCCTACCAAGATTTTCTCGTTCATTATTTTTCTTTCTTTCAATGTCCTGCTTGCCCAGACACTTTCCAAATGAATGAATTCTGTCAAACAATTAGAAAACTTCCAGTAATTTTCCATTTAGAATTTAACTATTTTATCTTGAAAAATGGAACATATTGTTTCTTTTTCTTACAATTTATTTGGTACAGGGTCTTGCTATGCAGGACTGGCATGGCAGGCAGTACTAGGGATCAAACTCAGGGCCTTATGCTTGTCAGCCAGGTGTTTAGGCTGCTGAACTATGGCCCCAGCCCCTCTTTTCCTTGCAGTTTCTTAACCCCAATTATTATAGTTATACCACAATTTAATTCCCTCCATTGTATCACTAATATAAGCTCTTTTTTTTTTTTTTTTTTTTGCGGAACCAGGGATTGAACTCATACCCTTGTGCTTGCCAGGGAAGCGCTTATTCCACTAAGCCATCTCCCCAGCCCCCTAAAATAAGCTTTAAAATATTTGTGATAGCTCTGAAAATTTTGTCTTCTGGTACACATGTGTCTGAGGATTTATACTGACTGGATACTGCAACCAGTAACTGACAACGCAAGTTTAAATGACTTACCTGTGCCTGGCTGTGAAAGATCCTGAATGTCCTCTGGGGAAACAAAGCATTCTAACTGTGCAGAGTTTGGGGCCGCCACAGACCAGCCCTGAGGTGCAATAGTGGCTGGAGCAAATGTGTCACAGGAAGGCATACCTAATATTGAGAAATACATGACAGAGGAAAAAGCAATTTGGTATGTTAAACCTGCTACACATATTACCAAGGATACACAGTACTAAGGACCAATAAAAACCAAAGCACTGAAAGGTTTTGTTTTGAGATGAGGTCTTTATATGCAGCCCAAGGTTGGCCTCAAGTCAGGTAGGATATCACTCTGTAGTTGAGGCTGGCCTTGAACTAACGAGCCCAGACTGGACTGGAAGCCAGTTGTTCTCCTGCCTCACCCTTCCAAATGCTGGGCTTGCAGGCGTGTGCTGTCATACCCAACCTTTCTATCTTCTTAAAATTTTACTTATTTTAATATTTTTTTAACATTTTTTAATTTCTTTTTTAAAGATCTTTTTATTTATTTATTTATTTATTTAATTTCATTTATTCTGTGTGTGGGGGCAGCTCAGCCCACCAGGGGGCGGGGCTGACTGGCATGTGGTGCTGGGGGATTGAACCGCGGTCCCCATGCCCTGCTTAGCTTGTTCTAAGTAGGTGCTTTAGACCACTGAGCCATCTCACCAGCCCAAAATTTTACTTATTTTAATTTTAGTTATGAAACTGAATGTAGAGACACATGGCTATAATCTAAACTTAGGAAGCTGAGGCAGGAGCATTCATCCAAGCTTAAGGCAGCCTGATCTATATTGTAAGACCCTGTCTCAAAAAACAAAAACAAAGAAAAATTTGTAATTAATTATAATACTGGGGATTGGAGCCAGGGCCTTTGCACTGAGCTATATTCCTAACAACCTCCCACTATCAACATTGTGTGTGCTGCGGATCAAACCCAAGACTATACGTGCAAGGTAAGGACTCTACCACTGAGCCACATCCCCAGGCTGCCAACCCTTTTTATTTTGAGACAGACTCTCAGAGTTTCTTAAATTCCCATAGCAAGGCTCAAATCTTAGCCTCTTCAGTACTGGGTTTATAGACACATGCCACAAGGACTAGCAGTGCCAAAAGTTTTAAAAACCCACACTACTGACGTTCTTCAAGTTTGAGGTAGTTGTCAATAGGAAGGAAGGAATCATTAGACCACAGAAGTGATCAACATTTACTGGCTATCTTCTACAGGGTACTATAAAGTTCTGATATAAACTGGACATGCTGGTACACAGCTATAATCCTAGCTCCTTAAGAGGCTAAGGAAAGAGACTTACTACCTGCATCAGACTCTGTCTCGAAAACAAAACAAAAAAGCTGGACACAGTCCTGTAGACCCATAATCCTTCTGGGAGACTGAAGCAGGAGAAGCACAAATTTTAGCCTTGCTATGGGAATTTAAAAGACTCTGAGAGTCTGTCTCAAAATAAAAAGGGTTGGCAGCCTGGGGATGTGGCTCAGTGGTAGAGTTCTTACCTTGCATATACAAGGCCCTGGGTTTGATCCCCCAGCACAACAAAAAGTTGGGGGTAGGGGGTTTGTCAGGGATATAGCTAGGACAAAGGCCCTGCCTTTCAAACCCCAGTATTATAATTAATTAATTAAATAATTTTTTTCTTTGTTTTTGTTTTTTGAAACAGGGTCTCACTATGTAGGTCAGGCCACCCACGCTGCCTTAAGCTTGGATAAATGCTCCTGCCTCAGCTTCCTAAATTTAGATTATAGCCATGTGCCACTACATTCAGTTTTATAATTAATTAAAGAAAGTAAAATTTTAAAAAGAAATGTTAGGTATGGTAGCACATGCCTGTAACCCCAGCATTTGGAGGGCTGAGGCAGGATAATTCAGGACTGATTTTCAGGCCAGTCTGGGCTAGTGAGTTCAAGGTCAGTCACAACTACATAGTGATACTCTACCTGGAAAGGAAAGAAAAGAAAGGATGGGTATCCATCTTTGTGACAGAGTCATTACTTAGCATGTTCAAGGTACTAGGATCAATTCCCAGTATGTAAAGAAAAAGAAAAAAAGATTCACAGTATCAAAGACTAACGCAAGCAATACCATGACCAACGTGATATGGTGTATAGTAATCAAATGCAAGCCTTATTTCCTCTGTGGAATGAGATTAACACTACCTTTTATGAAGGTTTTATAAATTATTAATAAGACCACCACGAGAGGACCATTATCATGCTGTCCTATGCAACGCACCTTAGATCTAATACCAGTAAGTGCCAGACATTAAGTTCATGACATTTTTTAAGGAACAGCCATGCTATGTTGCCCAGGCTAGTCTGGAATTTCTGGGCTCAGGTGATCCTCCTGCCTCAGCTTCCTACATAGTGATAACTATAGGTACATTGTCAGCATGAGTGGCAAGACTTTTACATTTCAGTTATATTGTTACAATTCAGGCAAGGCAGACATAAATCAAATAATGCATATTGTATAATGCACTGAGTATGGAGCAAGTTCTAAAGGAGTTCAGAAAAAATTAGATGGATTAGACTATCACAAAACATCTCAGAGAGGAGCAAAGAAAGGGTGGTCAATTTCAAGGAAAGAGAACACTGGGTAGAGAAATCATAGGGCTGGGGCCAGGGAGATGGCTCAGTAGAATAAGCGCTTGCCTGGCAAGCACAAGGGCCTGAGTTCAATCCCAGTTCCACCATAAAAAAAGGAAAAAAATAAAGGATATCATAGGGCCAGCCAGATAGCTCAGCAGACTAAAACGCCTGCTTAGGCCAAGCACAGTGGCTGGGGTTTGATCCTGGCAAGCCAAGCCCACCACACCTCCGGGGCACACTGAGAGGGCAATTGAGATTGAGACTGGGATTAAGATTGAGACTGGGTATGGTGGCACATGTGTGTAATCCCACCTCTTGGGAGGCTGAAAAACAGGCGAATCACTAGGAGTCTGATCTACATAGTGAGAATCTGTACACCCAATACCAAATACATAACGGGAACAAGAAATCATAAAGATGCCAGCAGGCCCTGAGACCAGGAGATCCATCTGACGAAAGTATCTGCATCGCAGAGATGGAAAACCAGAATACAATAAATGAAATAAAGATATTAAAACCCAAAAGAGAAATTTAGAAATGAAGAATAAAGAGTGTCTTTTAAGGTTTTAGTTATATGGTGGCACATGCCTGTAATTCCAATACTGGGGAGGCTAAGGCAGGAGGACTGTTACGAGTTCAAGACCAGCTTGTACTGAAAGTGAGCTCAAGGCCAGCCTCTAAGACCCTGACTCAAAAAGTAAAAATAAATAAATAAATATTAAGGTCTTAATTGAGTAAATCAGATGAAAATACAACAGGAATTCAAAATGGTCAATAGAGGAGATGGGGAGAGAGCTCAGTAGCATAAGAGATTGCCTGGCAAGTGCAAGGGCCTGAGATCAATCCCCAATTGGGGTGGGGGGGAGATAGAGCAGTAATATTTAGAATGGATTCGAAAAGAGAGTTAGACCTAGGTGAGATGGCACACACTGATAATTCCAGCATTCGGGAGGCCGAGGCAGGAGAATCATTGTAGTTTCAAGGTCAGGCTGGGCTAAATAATGAGTTAGAGGTATGCCTGAACTACATAGACCCCTTCTCAAACTCTTCCTCACACCACCCACCCAAAAAGACCCAAAAAACCCAAAAGCACAAATACAGAAGAAAAGGAAAGAGGAAGGCTCATCTGTGGTGAAAGCGGAGGGAACACAAAGGGGGAAAAATGTGTAAAAGATGGCAGTGCAGCAAGATGACCCACTAGCTAGTGAGCTAAAACAACAGGGGTCACAGTCAGTATCATCAAAGTACTAGGAGGCCACAGGGATACTACCAGCAGTCAACTCATTTAACATCCTTCTTTCCCAGAGATTTTTTTTTTAAAAATTGTTCATTTGGTATAGAGCCTCGCTATTCAGCTCAGACTACTGTCTGAGACAAGTGATCCTCCTGTCTCAGCCGCCCCAGCACTGGAATTACAGGCAAGCACCACCACACCTGGTCGCAGTGGCTGGCTCAGCACAGGGCTGGCACTTTGCAGGGCTGGCCTAGCATGTGGTACTAATGGGTCCTTGCATTTCCAGGCAGGCGCTTACACCGCCAAGCTATTCCCTAGTACCTTTACCAAAGATCTTAAGTCCACAGAAAAGTAAAAATGAAACGTATTATCCACATTATTCACAAATACAAAATTCTAAGCACTGTTTCAAGTGTCTTGTTATACAGGTTTCAAACAATGAACCTAAGAAACATTTTGCCTTCTCTGCAGAATAAATTCACATGGAAAGCCATACCGTAATGGTCCTCCTGGGGATCATTTTGTCCCATAAACTTTGGAGTGTTTGTTGTTCCACTTGAGAGAAAGAGCAGATCCGCCTGACTGTCACCATGGGGCACCTTAAAGGGATCTGGAAGATAGCAGAGATCCAAACTCAGGCTCAGTGCATGCAATCAGCAGGATTACCACCTCACAATGCCATGTAATGAATATGCTAACTTCCTTGTTCACCATATGCAGGCTGAGAGAGTATGAGACCACACCTATAAGAACTGGTGATTCTCTTGGATTATCTAAATAAGCCAACAAATGTATAAAACTAAAAGGAAAACTAACATCTTAGAAGGTGAAAAGTACAGAGAAATCTAAATTTCCAAATATATGTACTAAATAGTATTTTTTTTTTTCTCTTTTTGAGACAGGTTTCACTATACAGTTCAGGCTGGTGTTGAACTCACTTTGTAACCCAAGCCAGCCTTGAACTCAGCATGATCCTCCTGCCCCAGCCTCCTGAGTGTTGGTATTACAGGTGTGTGCCACCATACTCAGGCTTCATTTCAAATTACTAAAAAATAAGGTTTTCAGAAAACAGCTCAAGAAGAGAAACTTTTGCCTCAAGTGGATATCATGCAGAGAGGACCAGGTGAGCAGATGGCATCTGAGACAGAGAAGGCTCTGTCTAGGCTCAGGGCTGGCTTGAGCAAGGCAGTCTGAGCTTTTCTACACAGAAAATGAAAAGCCAAGCTAGTCAAGACAGAACAGAATCTTGCTTTCTAAGCAGGCTTTCTCAACATTAGCCTCTTTATCCATCATCCCAAGGTTTGTAACTAGCATCTCTGGTGAGGCTAATGCATCACTTCCTCAAGATGCTTCTAGGCCAGGCGTGGTTGTGCACACCTGTAATCCTACTAGTTGGGAAGAAGAAATAGGAGGATCACAGTAAGTTCAAGGCCAGGCTGAGCTACATAGTGCATTCAAGGCCAGCCTGAGGTACATAGCAAGACCTGCATCTAAAAAAAAGAAAATCAAAAAACAAAACACAGTCCAAAAAGGAAAAAAAAAAAAGTAGACTCATACTTCCTAACTGCAAAACTTACCAGACTTAAGAGCAAGCATGCTTGTGTACTACAGCTTTCCCTTTGTCATGCATAGAAGACTGGTGATAAACTTAACCACCACACACACATCAAAATCCTAGGCCTACAAGTTCGGTATATAAAATGGCAAAAAGTTTGCAAAAAACATATGTGCAGGGCCGGGGAGATGGCTCAGTAGATTAAGTGCTTCCTGGCCAGTGCAAAGGTCTGAGTTCAATCCCTGGCTCCACCAAAAAATAAATAAATAAAATAAAGAATATATGTGCATTCTGTGTATAGTTTAAATCATCTCTAAACTACTAATAAAACCTTATCGTGTAAGTGCTATGGAAATACTTGTTGTACTAGTCTAATAACAATGTATCATCGAGGGAATTGCAAGACACAATGCACAGGCTCAGTAAAGATGCAGTTTTTCTTCATCGAATATTTAGGGTGCTTTTTGTTTGTTTTTTTTTTTTCATTAAATTAGAATATATTTTAAAAATAGGCAAAAAGAATTATATAATTCTTACGTTTATACGTAAGTCCAAAAATCTAACCATATACAACCTTGAAGGAGGACAGTCCCACAACATCCCTTTTCCTGTCTCCTGCCTTCATTCACCACCCCCTTCTTTTTCAACAATCATCTACCCAAGAGACAGCACAGCAGCAACTGGCATGTCATGACAAGCAGCCCGTATTCAGAAGACCAGAATGATAGGCACTCCAAGCATGAACCTACTATTACAAATTGCCATATTCACGGTTTAGTTTTTGAAACAGGATCTTGCTAGGCAGTTATGGCTGGCCTTGTCCTCACCATGTGGCCAGGCTGGCCTTGAACTCATGGCAGTCTTCCTGCCTCAGCCTCCCAAGAGCTAGGATTACACCATGCCTGGTTATTCTTTCAGTATTTCAGATTCATGATTTATTGAATCCTTGGATATGGAACCCATGGGCATTAAGGGCAACTCTACTGGAAAAAAGACCTAAAAATGAATGGGACGGAGCTGAAAGTTGAGAAAACCACATGTTTGTGCTTTACAGATTTTCAATAAGGTGTCAAGACTATTCAGTGGGTTTTAATAAAAAGGGAAACTGGTCATTTATGGGAAATGACCAGAATAAGGAAATGTACATAGCAAAAGAGTGAATTTAATAGTAATACCTTTTTTTTTTTTTTTTTTTTTGGTGGGGGAAGGACACAGGGTCTCACTATTGTAATTCAGGCTGGCCTCGAACTCAAAACAATCCTCTTATCTCAGCCTCCCAAGTGCTACAACTCATAGCAATCCTGTTGTCTCTTTAATTTGAGGGCTTTTTTTTTTTTTACATTTTTTTTAAATGTGTGTGTGTGTGTGTGTGTGTGTGTGTGTGTGTGTCTAGCTCAGCCCACCAGGGGGCAGCCCACCAGGGGGCGGGCCGGTCTGGCATGCGGTGCTGGGGGATTGAACCATGGTCCCTGTGCTTTGCTTAGCTTGGATTGTTCTAAGTAGGTGCTTTAGACCACTGAGCCATCTCACCAGCCCCAATCCTGTTGTCTCTTGTCTCAGCCTCCAAGTGCCAGTATCACAGGCTCATGTCACCTCACCTGGCTGTAATAACTCTCAATATATGTATTCAAAATGGACTAAAGACCAACAGAACCAGGGATTGAACTCAGACCCTTGACACTTGCCAGGCAAGTGCTTATTCTACTGAGCCATCTCCCCGGCCCCTAAAATTTAAGAACTAAAAGATAGGTATAAACCTTTATGAGTTTGATTTTGGCAACAAAATTATAAGTATGAATACCAAACATACAAGCAACGAAAAGAAAATATGGATAAACTGAACCTCATCAAAATAAAAACTTATGGGGCTGAGGAGATAGCTCAGTAGAATAAGTGCTTGCCTAGCAAGCACAAGGGCCGGAGTTCAATCTCCGGTTCCACCAAATAAATAAATACATACATACATACATACATACATACATTTACGCATCAAAGGACACAAGTCAAAAGGGAAAGAGAAAATGAACATAATGAGATAAAATGCTTGCAAACCCCAAATCTGATACACATCTCATATGCAGAATATTTACAACTCATAGCACAGTAACAGAAAGACAAAATAGAAAATGGGCAAAGATTCTGAGTACACATTTCTCTAAAGAAATATACAGATAAGGCAAACAAGCACCTGAAAAGTTGAAAACAAAAACATTATTAGTCATTATAAAAATGCAAATCAAAACCACAAGATGTCAATACAATGACTATAATTTTTTAAAAAGAAATATGCTAAGTTAAAAAAAATAAAAAGCTAGTCACTAAAGACTATATATGACGTTGACTCAATTTATGGGAAATGACCAGAATAAGGAAATGTATATAAGCAAAAGGTGACTGGTGGTTGCGTGGAACTGGAGTACTTAGAGAGCTAGAGCATAATGTCGCAAGGATTCAGAGTTTCCGAGGGTGGTGAGAAAAGTATTCTAAGATTTAGAATTAGAAATTAGGCTGAAGGAAGGCCTGCATGCAGGGGGACACCTGGCGCTCACATGGGCAAACTTGCAGGAGGCAGCGTCATGCCTGGGATGTCTTCTGTAGGTCATTCCTCCCACTACCTCTAGCTTGGAGCAACTGCAGAGATGCTTTCTAATATACTTTTTTTTTAATTGAATTTTACAGAAATTGAGTATGAGGCAGTTTTCTGTCAAGTGAGGATAATAATGGATGTTAACAGGTAAGAAACAGAAAAAATGTATTTAGAGGCTCTGGAACGATGCCTGGCAAGAACAAGGCAGTTGACAAATGGCACTGATTATTACTATAATAATTCCTTTTTGAACAATTACGTTTCTGATAGCTGGGTATGGTGGCACAGGCTTACAATCAAAGCACTTGAGAGGCTGAGGCAAGGTGATTGCTCTGAATTCCTGGCCAGCCCAGGATACATAGTGAGCTCAAGGACAATCTGAACTATATAGTCAGACTCTCTCAAAAAATAAAAATAAAAAAAAAACAAAAACAAAAAAAGAATTAAGATTCTAAGACACTACTGATCTTTTAGTTTTCAATTAATTTATTAGAAAAAGATCTTATCGCCTGGCATGATTCCGTCCTGCGTGTCTGTTCTGTGGAGCAGTAGTCATTCACTTCTGTCCGCGTTCTCTCCCACCTAAGTGCGCGCCACCACTCCATGGAAGATTCGATGGATATGGACATGAGCGCCCTGAGGCCCCAGAATTATCTCTTCGGTTGTGAACTAAAGGCCGACAAAGATTACCACTTTAAGGTGGATAACGATGACAATGAGCACCAGTTGTCATTAAGAA